TAAAGTACGAGGACTGATGGATCAGCATAATAGCCAAGCAACTGGCTTTTTTTTAAAAGGCGAGTTCAGCAATGTCAGCCTTTGTATTTTGCCAGTACAAGTTATCTTTAACAGGCACTATATACTGTATTCTTCTAAACTACTGAATTTATCAGTAAAAATAGATTATCAGCAATGTACAAAACATAATGTGACAATATCTGCAAATTGTAAATAAGTGTTACAAAGTATTACAGGGCTTCCTACAAAACAATTGCACTGGCCCCCTCTAGTGGTGATTTAAAAGAAGACCGTTACTGCAATGTGAGTCACACTGACACTGCAGTGGTGGAGTAGTAGTGTAGGAGGATTAGGAACCGTTTTATTTTTGTTTGTTTTTTAACCCAGATTCTTCTCCTAAATTTAAATACTTTGTGAAGCAAGACAGTTATGATGCATCTGCTTTCATATTGGGTAAACCCAGAGATTTTCATATGTATGTGCGATTTAATGAAGGGTAAAATTGGGCAGTTCTTAACCTTTGTGCAAGAAAAAAAATAAGAAAACAGAAGTACACAGTTTATAAATAGCACATCCAAAACAGAAAAACAAACATACTCGGGGCTGATGGGGGATTTGCGGTTTGAAGAAATTCTACACAACAATTTGAGTTTTCTGCATATTTTAGGACCTGCCAATCAGATTCAAGTCTGCAATGGGATGAGACAGCTGGGAGAGTGAATGTTTGAATCCGATTGGCTGCTATGGGACTGATACAAACAGCTGTTATCAAAATGCTGATGCCCAGCAGCCATTCAGGGCACTAAAACAAATTAATCCGATCACCACAAGGCACAAAAAAAGTCCCCCCAACCAGCCATCCAGCTACGAATCCCAAAATGTCTCTGCTTCTAGGAGTCATACCTGTAACTGTCAGTCATGCAGTGCCCCATGGGACTTTTAGTTTCACAACAGCTGGAGCGCCAGAGTTGCGCACCCCTGGTTTAAGCCGTTTGCATCAGTGAGACTTGTGGCTCGTTTACAAGTATGTGCCCATTGCAGCGCAGCGTTGGTGTGGATGGGTCCTTTCAGATCCCCTTTTTAAAAAAATACACGCTACATTACAGCCCATAGATGTGAACTGGCCACATATAATGGCGATTTCTTCTAAAAACGCTAGTAGTAGTTAGCCACATTCAATGAGGCATTGGAAGACTGACATCCACAGACATGATGGGATTTGTAGGTTCAGCACAGATGGCGTGCCAAGGTTTCCTACCCCAGAGCCATACCATGACCTGGATAAATGAGAACCTTCCCTGTCAAACTTGAACTGCATTTCCACACATTCAAACGTTTTACTGCAGGAAATCAGACAAAGTGTGATGAGGTGCTGAATGATGTCATCAGGCCACAAAGGGATGAGCAAACATGTCTGAATCACTTTGGGTGCCTATGGAAACCTAAGCGTGCATGCATGCTGGACAATGGTGTACATTTGTTCCTTGTTTGCTTGCAGGGAGTCACTGGAGTGATACGTAATTAACTCTATTGTAACCCAGGTACACTGCGGCATTAAAGTTATGCTAGATGCGCCAAAATACATCCTGCAGTACATAGACCTTCAGATCTCTGAAGATGTTGAAGTCAGACAGCCAAGCAACTTGCATTGCAGTGAGGTCTAGGTTGGTGGCATTTTGCATTCCCATACAAGTCTATGGACATGTAAAACCCACTTGAAGCAGGTCAATGCAAGTCAGAGGGAAGCCAACCGCAGGTCAAATGTGCCTGTCAATCAATTTGAATGATCTGAAAAGTGTTTTAAACTGATGCCATCAACAAAAACCTTTAGGGCTCGTTCACACCAGGCATGTTTATAGTGTGCCCTGTTCACATTATACATGTGCTTTGTGTAAAGATGCAGCAGGTCAATATTGCCATACAATGCACTGCACTATAGCTGTGCAAAGAGTTGAATGTCATTTTGTGACACAAAGTTAAAAAAGTAAACAATGAGTTATAACAACAACACACCGCAGCATCCCTCAAAACACACAAGATATGTGGAGTATAGCATGCATGTGCCCTTAAAGAGACAATATCACCTTGCCCATTCAGGCCAAAGTGGCAGTGCCTTTGTAAACAGCACCCCAACCGAATCCACGGATACCTACCTTGCCAGCGTTCCCTTGACGCTCCACCCGACGCCGCAGCCAGCAACAATACCAGGTGCTTCTGGGTATGGGGGAGCATGTGACCTGCTTCTATAGGACACTGCTAGGGACTGAGAACAGTAACCGTGCCCCTTAGTGTTCAAGACCAGCCGCCACTAGGGATTAGAGCGCGGGCTGCGACAAAGAAAGGAGCGTTGCATGGCGAGTATCAGGAGGGGTCATGGGAATACCCTTTACAAAGAGACTTAGTAAAAAATATGTCACCAGAAATCTGTAATTCTTCATACTTTACAAGAACATTTTCCCTGAATGAGCAATGTGGTCATCTGATTGAGATTACATAACACACACACACACACACACACACACACACACACACACCATTGTGCTCTAGATCTACATGAACACTCTAATTCCCACAATGACCCAGAAGGAATCATACCCAGCCCACTCATCAGTGTGCAATCACCATTTTACTGTCCAGTTTAATCACTATGTAACGTATACATTTTCTGAGCGTCTTACAAGGTTTATACAGATGCAGCATACTTTGCAATACCGGGGGATACAGACAGCTGGGCTGGACAGAACAGAACCATTTGCAAATATTCATACATAAATTATTATATCTCAAAGATGTGCACAAGTAGAATTTCAAACTTTTTTTTTTTCTTTTTAATTGTGGATGGAGTGGGGGCATATTAGCATCTTCGTCCGGATTTTACCACAGTCTCCCCACAGATATTTTCCCTCACTTCCTGTCCTGGCAACGTAGCAGAAAGTAAGGCAACATTCACATGGGGCTGTGTGTCCGATGTGCCCATTCAAGTTAATGATAGGGTGACATCAGCCACATCTCTCAGCAGCAGTCTACATGTAATTGTACAGGGAACGATTACATGCGGTTCGGCATAGAGGATTGTCTCTGGATGCAATCTGTGTGTCCAATGACAATCATCTATCCCGAACTGCATGCAATTGTACCATGTACGATTACATATGGACTGCCGCTGACGGATACAGCCTCTGTCACCCTCTCATTTAGTTGCATGACCACAGCGTCCGACTCTGTACGGACCCACCTGGGATCCGTAGATTCTTGCCAAAGGCATCCCCAGCCGCAGCCTAAAGCCCTGTGTAAATGTAGCCTTGGGGGAAAAAAAACAGGAACTTCAACGAGAACACAAAGACCACAGAATCTAACCCTTCCCATTCATCTCAAAAACAAAACGTTTTTGTCTGTGTCTCTGTTGGAGATACGGTAGTCACTTCCCATCTTGCTAACAAAACAGGAAGTGAATACAAAATAAATAAAAATAAAAAAAGCAGACAGGAATTAAAGCATTTCTCCATCCAACTATTTATATCAAACAATAAACAAAAAGAGTTTTGAGCACCTTTAGTGTATAGCCATTTTGTATAGGGTAGGCCAAAAACATTGATTGCCTTTGCGGTTCAAATTTTAGGGCTGGGGGAAAAACGATCACCATATGGATTCCATTGGCTTCAGGATCACGTGAGCCAAGGCTGCTCAGGAAAATGGGGCAAATGAAGACTGACAGGGTTTACTACAAGAGGCCTGGAAAGAGGGTTAAATCAAGTAGAAGGGGCGGCCATTTTCTTTTTTTCATGCTGCAGATATTAAAAAAAGAGAGCATCTGATGGGTAACGAGAACATTTCTGTCCGGGCATTATGACCAGGATACCCAAAATGGCTGCTCTGAGGTGCGACTGACAGCTGAGGAGTAATTTTTCTTAAGAGTGAAAACAGAACTGGGAGTTCCCAGTAATATCAATTGCCAGGAAATCATCAACAGGCTCCAAACTAACGATGTTCGGGGGCTCGGTGCAAACCCAGGGTGCAAGAGTTCGGTCAAGCCCACGCTAAAAAAACTGTGAATAACACCCCCCTGGCCCAATAAGTCGTGGCTGGGGTATTCCCCACCCCACAGCTACACATTGCAAAGGGGCAGGAAATGTCCCAGGGCGCAACTGATTGGGTTGGGAGGCGGGGTGGCAGTCACAGTTTTGCGCCACCTCCAGCGCACTGGGTTCACACCAAGCCACGTGCACATCCTTACCGCAAACTAAGACATCATAACAGTTATAAAAAGGCTTTGTTCAGGTCATCAGGCAGTCGGCCATTTTTTTTGTTTCGCTAATAACTGTATGAACCAAGCTGTCCCCAGAAAAAAACAAAAACCACCTCACAGTGTCCCTGGGGTTTTCCCAATATTCCCGAATCAGGTTTCTAATTTCATTACTGCAAACTAAGACATCATAACAGTTATAAAATGGCACAGTTTAGGTCAGGTAATAGGGCAGTCGGCCATTTTTATTATAATTTTTTTGCTGACAACTGTACAGTAGGAACTTAGCAGGCCCCAGAAAAAAAAAAAATACCTCACGGCAGACTGCTTTTTCCTGTGATTTTGCCAATATTCCCGAATCAAATTTCTAATATTGTTACTGCAAACTAAGACATCTTAACAGTTACAAAATGCCTCCGCTCAGGTCAGGTAATGGGGCAGTCGGCCATTTTTTGCTTGTTTTGTTGACAACCTGGAAAAGAACTACAGTATGAACTAAGCGGTCCCCAAGAAAAAATACCTCACAGTGGACCTCTTGTACCTGGGATTTTCCCAATATTCCCAAATCAGATATCCAATATCGGTACTGCAAACCAAGACATCATAACAGTTACAAAATGCCTCCGCTCAGGTCAGGTAATAGGGCAGTCGGCCATTTTTTTTGTTTTGTTGACAATAACCTGGAAAATAACAACTGTACAGTATGAACTAAGCGGTCCCCAGGAAAAAATACCTCACAGTGGACCGCTTGTATCTGGGATTTTTCCCAATATCCCCTAATCAGATTTCTAATATAGAAGCACAAGGGCAATTTCACCGAGCCTACAGCTAAAGTATCGTCAGCGAGGAGCCCCGTCAGTCACAAAACAGAATACATTTAGGCAATGCCCAATTTAAAAAAAAAAAAAAGAAGGTCAATATTAAAAAATACCAGTAAAAAAAAAAAAAAAAAGAATTCTTTGAAAATGAACTACCCACTATTTTCATTCACAGCAACAAAGTCTACACAGGCTGGTTAGGCACGATCTGTTTATCTTCATATTGCGGTGGTGGCGTTATAGGTTCGATCTTTTGGGTTTCGGCTAGGTTTTTACGACCTGACAGGTTAAGTCTGAACTCCTTCAGGTGAAGTTTGTCAGATTTAATCCTTCTGACGTTCAGGGGTTTTTTCTCTTTGACCGATCGTGAATTCGTCCTTTGCGGCTGTTCCGGTGAGGTGGTGGCTTTGGGCCTGGTTGGCGTGGACTCATCAAGTTCATTCAGGGACTCGTAAGACGGAAGGGAAATGCTCATCCTTTGGTTTCCGTCGGCGTCTAAGACTGGTCGAGGTTCGTATTCCATTCTCATCACTTCCTCGTAGCTGGGGGCGGAATACCGCGGGGAATCGGGCTCTTCATGGCTGCATGGAACAAGGAGACAGAGCGTTAAGTGCTGCAATATGGTGCTTGGTTTGTTTTACAGAATTGTTATAAATCACAGGTTGGTGAAAAATTTACTAACAACCAGAGGATTTACCAGGACTGGTGTCACCTGTGCGCATGTCATTACGTATGCATGCGATGTCATTACGCCTGCACGTAATGACACCAGGTGCACTTCACTGCTGGCATCCATCTTGATGGACCCGAGCAAAGAGAGGAGGGGACGTTTATCCTGCAGGATAAAAAAGGTATTCCGCCGGCTCCCCTCTCGTTCAGCTGTCGGGTTCTCTGTCCATGACAGAGTGCTCGACTTTTCAGAAGGGGGTGACACCAATATGACTGTCAGTCACTTTGGTGTCACCCGGTGTGGGCCGCACCCACCTGGTTACACCACTGCAGACAACTATGCAGTGTGAGGATTTCTTGTTTTGACTTAAAACCACCTTAAAGACGTATAAAAAAAAAAAAAAAAAAAAAAAAAAATTTTCGGGAAAATAAAAAATTTCA